CGGCGGCGGGCGTGGGGGACTCGCTGCGGGACTCGCAGGCCAGCAGGGCCAGGCGGGTCCCGGGCAGGGTCTTGAGCGTGCTGCGGTACGTCTCGTGCCGGGTGCCGCCCACGTTGAGGATCACCCTCTCGTGGTCCTCGAGCTTCCCCATCTCTCGGCCTCAGACATGACTGCAGGAGGAAGGGAAGGCGGGCGGCACCCGTGAGCGCGAGGCGGGCGGCACCCGTGAGCGCGGGGCAGCCGGCGCGGCCCCCCCCTCCCTTGCCCTCACCTCACCTCACCTCACCTCACCGCGCGCGAGGAAGAAGCGGCTCCTCTTCCTCGGGCGGGCTCGGCTGACTCTGCGCCTGCCGCCGCCGCCGCCGACCGAGGGCTACTTGTTGGCGGCGTCCAGGCGCAGCTGTTGTCCTCCTCCTCCTCCCCCCGCGCAATCGCGCCTCCCGCGTGTCCGTGTCAGCAGCCGCCGCCTCCCCGCCGCGCAGGGCGGCGCTCCCCGCAGGTGGCGGCTGTTGATCTGCCCGCGCAGCCACAGGTGCCGGCGCTGCCCGCAGGCTTCCCAGGTGCCGCTCGCGAGGCAGCCCTGCTGCGCGTGCAGGCGGGAGGCTGGGATTTGCGCCCTGCCTCCCGCGCCCGGTTGCGGCAGCCGGCTCCCTCACCTGTGGCTTCAGGCCCCGCCAAGTCTCGCCTCCACCTTCGGCCTCGAGAGCCAGGGGAGCTAGGCGGGAGAAAGACCGCCCCTGGCTTTTTCCTCCAGCCCCGCGCTGGTAATGGGAAAGGCCGTGGCTAAAAGCAAGAAGGGCGTTTGCGAAGGAAGGAAGCCGCTCCCAGAGCCTCCTCCAGCTGTCTTGTCCCTGGCCCAAAGCAGATGCAGTCACGGTGAAAACTCTCCCGAGCCAAAATGCCCCCTGCCTGAGGAACGGCGTTTGTGCCTGAAAGCTTCCAAGGAAGAATTTCTCCCACTGTTTTAGTTGGTCTCATCAAAGATATCGCCTTTCTGCCCAAAGAAGCTGCATCCCATTACACAGCTGTAACCACTGGCAACGTGTAGCAGGTGCACACGGGTGCACGTGCCCCCTCTGAGCGTGGCAGTGCACCCCCTGCAAAAAGGTGAGCGTGGCAGTGCACCCTCCGCAAAAAGGCATCACCGACACTGTCATCAGCACCTGGGGGCAGTCACCACTCACCACCCCCCACAACACCAATGCCACGCACAGCGTCTGTGGGCAGTCCACAATTGCCATTGCTGGCACTGCTATGGGAGTTCCCCACTTGCCTCCACCATGCTTCTGCAGCTGACAGCACTGCCACAGCCTCCACGGCATGCGGCATTCCTGGCGGTAACTCCAGAGTAGCCCCACTCTAGGGTGACATTAGTTCCACTGCCAGGCTCTATGGGCATTTCTACACGTGCCTTTTTTCCAGCAACGCAGTAGAGACCTGCTGCCTTGGAGCAGGCCCGATGAATCGAGCTGGTGTGCACCACGCTGCACCACGTGCCGTTGTATAAGTAGCAAAATGTGCATCAGCTCGCAGCCAATAGCAGCAGTGCGCCTTTGAGCCAAAGCACCTCTGAGGTGTTTTAGTTCAAAAGCACGCCATCGCCACTTTCTCAGTGCTCACGCGCATGTTGCCACGTCTACAAGCGCATGCAGTACAGCGCCAGGCACTTTTCAAAGCCCCAACCACTGCAATGCATGCATGTATAAAAATGCCCTGTAAATTTTATGCCCAGAATACTGGTATGTAGAGCTATATTGTACATCAGTGGTGGGCCTCCTTTTTTGGCAGCTGAGCTACAAATTAAATCACCCCCTGTCCCCACAAGTGTTGCTCTGACTGTACCCCCCCCATCCCATCTCCTCCACGCACCTGACTGCATTCACACCCTGGGGCAGTGCTGTGGATGTGGTTGGGATGGCATGGAAGAGAGCTCTGGCTGTGTACCGCCACAGCCAGAGGTTTGATCACTCTGCCTCCAATTTGGTGCCTCCTTGCACTGAGGGCCCAGGACTCAACATGCCACCTACGACAGCTGCCGTTGTCAGTTGTGGCACGTGCTGCGGGCTAGCTGCCCCTGTTTCACATGCTTTGTAGTTTGCAAAAGAACATGTGCTGAAACACCTAGGCAAGGCTAGAGATAAGGTTTCAGATGTGGAGCTCAAAAGTTTTTGTGTTTGTTTGTTTTATGGAAACAAGTAAAGATAACTACATCCGGGAAGAAGCAGCATCCATCTCCTGCATGACCTGAAAGAAATTGAGATTGCCCAAACTAGTGCTCAACTTGTAAAACCAAATTATAAGATCTAGTCACACATGAAGGGGACCATCCCTACCATAGGCAACTGGTGGGGGGGGGCACAGGAGGGCACGTGCCTCCCCGACAGGGCTGTCCCCTCCACCAACGCCAGGTGCTCACCAGCCCCGTCCCTGCCACTGACCCCGCCGGCGGCTTCTGCAGGCACTCGCCAGCCCCGTCTCCGCCGTTGACAGCTTCTGCGGGTGCCACCACAGACTCAAGCTGCACCAGTCACCCATGATCCTTACACAGATCTTCTCCCCTTCCTACTTAAACTTTCCTTTTACAGAAGACTCCCTGCACATTTGGGGATATGCCTGAAATGAGGGGCTAGCCAGAAGCCTCCTAGAGGATGCAAGGCCAGAAAATACATTCATTGTCTCCTCTTTAATCCCATAAAGATCCCACAAGCAATTTAATGGAGGTGTATTACATTCCTGTAGTTCTTTCCCACTGTGTGAAATCCTGGGTGGAACAGTAATAGCTACTGGTACACAAGGAACAAAGCTGGCATGACTTCTCAGGTCTTAATTCAGGTTAAGAAACATTAATTCTTCACAGTGGAAAAAGTGTTCCTAGCCACTGTCACCACCTGAAGCTCCAGGTGCAACAGAATGCCACAGCAAATATAGTAGTCATTGATGTATTCACAATGACATATAATTCTCTGCTACAGAATCTATTAGAAAGTAGTTGAATACAGCTGGTAACATAAGCAGAGATTCACAAAGGGTATCTCAATCAAAACAGGCCAGAATAATTTATTTCAGTTACTGATGTAAAAGAGAAGTTAGGTTATATAAAATCAACTGCCAAGAATCATAAAATGATTGAAATATACCAATCACTAATGTATCAATAGGAAAGAAGCAAACCCATAAGAAAATCTACTTATTAAATAAAGATACAGAAATATATATATTCTGACTTTAGGAATGAGAGTTATGTACCAAATGGGATTGACTAAGGGACAGCATTCATGAAGATAAGTTTTTGTTACATTTCCCCAGTTAGATGTTAACTGGGTAACTGGAGCTGTACAGGGTGACTAGAAAAGACTGTAAAAGCCATTGTGAAATCATTTAATTGCTTTTAGTGGCAGAACCCTGGCACTTCACAGATTCATTTACTCCCATTTCATTTCCCCACTAAAATTTTAGTTCTTTGTGACATTTTTGGAAACTGAACATCTCTCAGTGAATCATATAAAAACTGTAAAAGTCCCTTTCACATGAAACATTTTAAAGAGAAGGGAAACTGGAAGAGCAAAAGCTGGAGTTTCCTTTAAAATGATGACGACAGAGCAACAAGGATAAGCCTCAGTCCAGAACCTACTAATTGTACTAGCGTACCTAGTAATCCAATACACAGCATGTGCTATATGTATTAGTTAAGCTTTATATTTCGCATTTCCCAACCTTTCAATTTAAAGTATTATAGGTTTTTTTGCATTTAAGTTCTTGTTTTAAGGGGAAAAAAGAGATGGGGGGAGTGGAAATGATACAGCTACAACACTAATATATAGTATTGCTTTGTGTGTTTCTGAACCACAGCACTCAGTTACAAAAAAATCTCCCAACTTCAACTACAAAATTCACACTTGTATTTTTCCCAGAGCCTTGAGCAAATTCGTACTCTTTGTTGAAAGGATATAGTCTCAGAACACACTCCTTATCTCAGTTCTCTTCCTGATTCTATGGCCAATTCAGAAGCATGCAACAGTTGTAAAATTACATTCCTCTTCTGATTTCTCAAGCTTTCACAAAATAATCACATTGTTCCTTAGGCTTTTCAAGGCTCAGGGCATTGCCTTTCCAGGAACTCACCAGTTATCCTAGTTTCAGTCTTAAGTTCAGTTGAGTAATTTGTTAGGGCTCCCCAATTATCCTTGTTTCAGGTCTCTCTCAGCTTTTGCACTGGTTACTTACGTCAGGCCACAAATAGCCCAAGATGGGGGTGAGAAAAAAAGTTTACTCACCTATAACTGTAGCTCTTCAACTAATATGGTCAGTACTGATTCACATTTGTGGGGTGCAGACCTTTGTAATATTCAATAGTCTTTACATATAGGTTATATAAAGCTATATAAGGAGGCATGGTGCCAGGCTCCCTCAGTTTCTGAGAGTTTTAGTATCTATTACTGATTCTGAAATAGTGGGAAGTTTTGATCTGTCCTGACAATCTACTTCAACTCCAGTTTAAAGTCAGCCATTCTTCTTATTCCTTCATGTGTCGTCAGTACAGAGTCCCACTTCTGAGGGACTGACATGCCCTAATGAGTCTAAAGAGAAAGGTTGAAGAAGACTAATTAAACAGCAAGTACAGTACTCACCTGCATCCCATCTTGAAGCCAGGTCTAGAGTATTGCTGTGTAAATGTACAGGCTGAATATTTGGCAGCAGTTTCAATAGCAAGAGTATTATACAAAGATGCCTCAGATCAAGTCAGGTATGCTCTGATATCATGAAGGACTGAGAAATCAGCTAAATAAGGTCCCCAAGTCCCGAATCAGAGCTGGAGTGCAAGACCGGTCTTCCGATTCCCCTTCTGACACTCAGGGAGGATAGGTTTGGATTGGGTGATTCTATACACAGTCAGATGGATTGCAGATTGGCTCAAGGGTCATACTCAGAGGGTGGTGGTAGACGGGTCATATTCGACCTGGGGGGAAGTGGGCAGCGGAGTCCCCCAGGGCTCGGTCCTGGGGCCTGCGCTGTTCAATTTCTTCATCAGCGATTTGGACGATGGGGTGAAATGCAACCTGTTTAAATTCGCTGATGATACCAAAATTTGGGGCGAGGTGAGCACGCTAGTAGGGAGGGAAAGACTGCAACAAGACCTGGATAGGTTACAGGAGTGGGCTGACATAAACAGGATGTGTTTCAATACTGACAAGTGCAGGGTGCTGCACTTAGGCAGTAGAAACCAGCAGTGCACTTATAGAATGGGAAACTCCCTTCCTGAGAGCACGGAGGCAGAAAGGGATCTTGGAGTCATTATTGACTCCAAGATGAACATGGGCCAACAATGCGAGGTCACAGTTGGCAGGGCTAACCAGACCTTGTCGTGCATCCACAGGGGCATCTCAAGTAGAGCCAGGGAGGTGATCCTCCCCCTCTATGCAACACTGGTCAGGTCACAGCTGGAGTACTGCATCCAGTTCTGTGCGCCCCATTTCAGGAGGGATGTGGACAACATTGAAAGGGTCCAGAAGAGGGCCACCCGCATGATCCGGGGAC